GATGACCTCGGTCGGGGGCGGCCAAGAAGGGGGTGTTGACTCGGGTGAAGTCGGGCCTGCCCCTCTACAGGAGGATAATTCAGAAGTGGTAAAACAAGTAGTCTGGGGACGACTTGTTTTTTGGTCATTGTTGACCATTGGTTTGAATTTTTCGGGGTATGTTTTATTTTCTGTCCAAAATCCACCTGTAGAGGGACATGCCCGACCTAATGCTTGCATTGACGTAGGTCGGGGGCGGCCAAGAGGGGACTGATGATTGGGGGGGTGGATATCCTGGCGTGAGCCATGATATTTTCTCAGATTATATGGCGCCTCTTCTTATTTCATTGCGTCCCTGGTCCCCCCCCCGGGCCGCGCACGTGTCGCCGGCATGGTTTGTGCCTCTCTCTCTTGGCCGACGCCGAGCAGGGTTCTTATCCGTATGGGCTTTGCCCCCTGCCGCGGGCCCCCTCTGTGTCGTAATGCGATATCTCAGAGTCGCGTCGGTGCGTCTCGACGCTGCCCTGGCGCATCTGGGAACATCATGCGGGGGCGGAGAGGAATCATCGGCGCATGTTGAGACGTTGGCGTTGTCCTAGTGGCCTTCGGCCCATCCCGGGTTGTGGGTCAGAGTTCTCAGGGATGCTTTTTGGGGTCTCTTCGGAGCGCTCTCGGAGGCCTCTTGGGGGCAGCTTTGGGGGACTTGAGAGCCTCCTGAGGGCCTCTTGGGGGCCTCGTTAGGCCTCTTGGGGGTCTCTTGGGGTGGGGGCCTCTGGGACCCCCCTGGGGGCCCCTCGGGGCCGAGGGCTCGGGATGTCCGTTCGGGTCCCCCAGATGGGGTCCCCTCGTGGAGCCGTCTTTGGGGCCTCTCCGGCCGTCTTGGGCGCCTCTGGGGCCGTCTTGGGGCCCTCTTGGGCCGTTTTGCGGCCCTACTGGATGCCTCTTGGGCCGTCTTGGGTCGATCTTGGGAGCCTCTGCAACCCCCTCGAATAAAAAGTCCAGACAGCAGAGGTCGCGGAAACTTAGCGTTGAGCGTGTCCTGTTAGGCCGCGGGGCCCCAGTACAATGTTGCCGAGACCGCCATGGTAGATTTCCGATTCATGCCTCCCCGGGGGCGACAATCGGAAACTCGCATTCCGCCCAAGACTTCCCTCGAACAACTTTCCGATCGGGTTCCAGAGGACGGGAAATTTTTAGAGGCGATCGGGAATGTGCGATTTCGCTTGAGACTTCCTCACAAAACAGATTCTGGTCCGACTTATGATGCCTGGAAGGAGCGTCATTTTTTGAACGATTCGGCAAAGCGCGTTTATTTGTGTCGACGCGCGCGATTCTAAGCAGAACTGTCTGGTTCTGGTGATCGATGCTTTGCGGTGCTGTGCCGTTGTTCGGCGCGCGGCGTTGTCTTGGGTTCGTCTTGGAGGCCATGTCGGAAATTGGGAGCCGAAGATCCATCGAGGGCCAATGCTGCAGATACAATCGGTGAGCGAGGACGCAAGGGGCCTTGTATAGCCGATCCAGACTTTTTAATCCAGGAGGTGGTAGGGCCGTCTGGGGGTGTCGGGAAGCCGAAAAGGCGAGACGCCGACAATTTTCAAACGTAAAGACAAATCAATGATTTTGGCCTCTCTGGAGGCCTCTTGCAGGCCTCTCGGGGCGTCTTGGCGGCCTCTCGGGCCGTCTGGGGGCCATCTGGAGCGCCTCAGATCGATCGTTCGGCGATTCGGGGCCCCCCTGGACCGTCTTCGGGGCCTCTTTGGGGGCCTCGTCGGGCCTCTCGGGGGCTTCGTCGGGCCTCTTGGGGCCTCTGGGGCCCTCCTGGGGGCCTTTTAAGGGCCTCTGGGGCCTTCCTGGGGTCCTCTTCGGGGCCTCTTTGGGGGCCCTCTTTGGGTCCGTCCTGGTGCCCTTCTGGGGCCCGAGCAGGGCACGCGACGAGCCGCCGGGAGGACCTCCGGGGGCACGCGCGAAGCCCCGGGAGAGTGGAGAACTTTGGGCCGAGGGCCCCTCGGGAGCCCGTAGGATCGAGGGCCGAGGCTCCGGGTCGGGGGTCCCAGAGGTCCGGACCCCTCTTCCTCGGCCGCTGTTCCTGTCTTCTCCCGGTGGCTGCTTGACGTTATTGGGGCCCGGTCGTGGGCTCCCACAGGCCGAAAAGGACCAACGGCCCTCTGTCGTGATTCCCTCGCGACGCGAGGAGGTCTGGGGCTCGCGCAACTCGGGGGCGGACAGACCTCCTACCCTGACACGTCGATTCAGGAATTGGCCGTTTTCGGCTCGCGAGAGGGCGTCGCGGCCGTCGTTTTTGCGGGTCTGGGTCCGTCGGTTTCGGTCCTAGGCCGTTTTCACTAAGGGGAGGTTTACTAAAGGGAGGTTTGTCCACCGCCGACGGGATGGGGCAAAGGGCCTGGGGACGCTTCCACTCCGTGCCCAGTGGCACGGTGGCGGATGTGGGGAACTGGATGGGGATGGCGGGGTTTCGGCTGGTGACGGGTTGGTGCGCGCCCGTGGTAGGGGACCGAGGAATGGCATAAGTAAGCATAACAACTCGGAGGTCCGCGCGGATTTCTCGGATCCGCGCTGGACCCCCCTGGCGGCGCCCCAGGCGCCGCTCCTGGCGCGATCCGCGCGCCAGGGTGGTCCAGCGCGGATCCAAGAAATCCGCGCGGACCTCCGAGTTTTTCTGTTTATGCCATTCTTCGTTCCCCTACGTGGGTGCCTCGTGGGCGCGCCCCGCGCTCGAGGGGTAATTATGTCGGGGGTTCGTCTGCGGCCCGCCGGAGGGCGCTTCGCTGGCGCCCGGGTCGCTTGCACCGCGTAGAGATTGCACCAGCCATATTGCACAACACAGCGTGCACCACAGAGCTTGCATTACACAGCTTGCACCGCATAGCTTGCACCGCGTAGCTTGTACCACGCAAACTGCACCACGTAGATTGCACAGCATGGGCTCCAACATAGCTTACACCCCACAGCTTGCACCAAATGCACCACACCTAGTACCCCACATAGTTTGCACCACGTAGCTTGCACCACATAGCTTGAACCACGCAGATTGCACCACATAAGTTGTACCACAGAGCTTGCACCTCAGAGCTTGCACCGAATCACCACGTATATTACACAGCATAGGCTCCAGCATAGCTTATACCGCACAGTTTGCACCAAATAGCTAGCACCACGCCTAGTACCCCACATAGTTTGCATCACGTAGCTTGCACCACATAGCTTGAACCGCGCATATTGCACCACGTAAGTTGCACCACATAGCTTGCACCACAGAGCTTACACCTCTAGCTTGCACCACATAGTCCACATCATTGCAATAACTTACGTTTTGGGGGCCTACGCTGGCTACCGTAGCAAAAGAAGCGCAAACATGTAATGAAGTTCAAGGGGGGTGTCTTGCGAAAACCCTGTTTTGAAAGTGTTTCTCCCTCTATCCGTGTAACTGTTGCACAACCTCAAAGTGCCGGTCTTACAAATTGCGAAGGTGTTTGGCGAGCGCCCTGGTTCACAAGCGTTGCGCAATGTGGAAGGTCGGCGGTGATCGAGTCTGAGTAAGTCTCAAGCGAGAGCCGCATGTTGAAGAAGAACTGGCCCCCCATTTCTATGTTTGGGTAGCTTGAAAACGAATGTGCGCGCGCTAAGGCAGGGGCCGCCTGCCTCGTAAGTGTCGGAAGCTTTCAGACAGCATGTGCGCGGAGCCAGGCGAGAGCTGCATTTTTAACCCACTGTTTTCCCATCTTTGTAGTTGGTGGACATTTTGGGAAGGAGTATACGCGGTGCTAAGACACGAGCCTTCTTTTCAAAACGGCTGGCTTCCATTCTTGTAAGTGTGGAACGCATTTGAGACTAGTGTGGGCGGCGCCGCCGCGGAAATTGCATTTTGGAAGTCATTGGCCTTTCATCTAACTTTTGAGTTTTGTCGTAGCTCCAGGACAGGATCGTATATCCTTGGGGAGATGTCTACATAGCGAACCGCCCGGCTCTGTCTACGGACCATGGGGAGCTGCTTATGTGGAAGAAGTATGCGTAGAGGAGGGGGGCGGAGGAGGAGCGTGGAGGGAGGGGGGAGGTATGCGGGATGTAATCAGAGGGAAGACACCTCTCAGGTTGGATGGGGCTCGGGGCCAGGGCAACGCCTGGGAGGGTTCTGGCTCCGGGTCTCCTTTCCTCCTACATGCCTTCTCGACCTGCTTCCTCCTTCTCCTCCTCCCTAGATCTTGTTTTTGTTGTTTTCGATGTGTGTGTGTGTGTGCTTTTTTTTTTTTTTTTTTTTGTGTGTGTGTGTGTGTGTGTGTGAGAGTTCGGGATGTATATATCTATGTGTATATATATATGTACATACATGTGCTTCGCAACAAAATTGGCGGTCTCTTGCAATTTTGGTCACTGGGTGCCGTTCAGTGGGTCGGTGGATTATGAGCAACTCATCTGGGATGAACATCTGTCCTCAAAGAACGGATCAAACCTTCTCGGGCCCGCGAGTGGATCGAATTCAATCCTTCAGAGGTCTGGGTTCTCGTCTTCCCTCCTGCCTTGTGCGCTCGATGAGCAATGGGACCCGTTGAGCCAGAGCATCCAGCAGCGCGGTCACAGTCGCTGATCAGTGTTCGCTTCAGCGCTTCTCCTCCTTCGCCATCCTGATCCACGCAAGGAGCCCGCGCAGCGACGAGGCGCCCCCGTGAGGCTCAGGAAGGCCCAGGAGCGCCCAAGATCTTCAAGTCTTCGGGTCGTCGCCCTCTCTCCCCGCCCGCCTCCTCCGCGTGCCCCCTCTCTCCACGAGGCCCCCGGCGGCTCCCGTGGCTCCCCCCTTCCCCCGTCGGGGGCGGCCAGGAGGGGGGGGATGACTGGGGTTAGGCCAGGCCTGTCCCTCTGTAGGAGGACATGCAAGACGTAAGATTAGGAGTGTGTGGATGTCATGGCTGGGGCCACGATGGCTCCCCCCGGATTTCAGGGCCCCCTCTTCTCCTTTCAGCACGTCCCGTGGTCACCCCCCCTGTTCCGCGCACAGGCTTCCAGCCATGATCTGCGAGCCCCCTCTTGGACGTCCCCCCTCTGGGATTAAGTCGGGCATGGCCCTCTACGGGAGGAAAATTCAGAACTAGTGAACAATAGTCTGGGGACGATTTTTCTACAATTTCTGACTATTTCTGTGAGCTGTTTTTGGCAATTCTTCATTTTTCGTCCAAAATCCGCCTGTAGGGGGCCATGCCTGGCCTAACTCTCTTTGACGCGCCCGGCCCCGCGGAGAGGCCACCTCCGACCGTTCCGGCACGCAGACGGAGCTGGAGGCGGTGCAGAAGTACCTGGAGCGCGCAGCGGGCGGGCGCTTCCGCCGGCGGCGGGCCGGTGGCTCCTCCTGCGCGGGGCTCATGCGAGAAGGAGGGGTGATGACAGTGTGATGGTGGTGGTGGTGCCTGTAGCGACGACAAGGATCACGATGGCGATGGTGCTGATGGTGATGGTGGGTGGTGGTGGTGGCGATGATGCTGAGGAGGGTGAGGACAAGGATGATGATAATAATTGTATGTTGATGATGACGATGCTGATGATGATGATGATGATGATGATGATGCGGATGATTTTGATGATGACGATGTTGCTGATGATGGTGATGATGCTGATGACGATGATGGTGATGATGTTGATGCTTGTGATGATGATGATGATTATGATGACGATGCTAATGTCATTTATGATGCTGATTATGGCGATGCTTCTGATATGATGATGATCGTGATGATGATGCTGTCGATGCTGATAAGGTCGACGGCGATAATGCTGCTGATGTTGATGATGATGGTGCTGCTTATGATGATTGTGACGATGCTGATGATTCTGCTGATGTTGGTTATGAGCATGAAGATGAGGATGATGATAATGGTGACGATGACGACGATGATGATAATGATGATGACGATGATGATGGTGGTGATGATGATGACGCTGCTGCTGATGAGGATGAATATGATGATGATGATGATGATGATGATGATGATGATGATGATGATGATGATGATACCGGTGCTGATGGTGGTTGTGGTGGTGATGATGATGATGGTGATGAGGATGATGACGGCGACGGCGATGGCGATGACGATGACGATGACGACGACGTCGACGACGACGACGACGACGACGATGATGATGATGATGATGATGATGATGATGATGATGATGATTGATGATGATTGATGATTGATGATGGATGATGGATGATGGTGATGGTGATGGTGATGATGATGAATATGATGATGATGATGATGATGATGATGATGATGATGATGATGATGATGATGATGATGATGATGATGATGATGATGATGATGATGATGATGATGATGATGATGATGATGATGATGATGATGATGATGATGATGATGATGATGATGATGATGCTGCTGCTGATGATGATGCTGATGATGATGATGATGATAATGCTACCGACGACGACGAAGAGCGCATGAGGATGCTGATGCTGGTGTAGATGGCGCTGTGTCGAGATGAGCGGATTAAGATGACGATGATGATGTGACGACAACAGTATGGTGACGACGACTGGGAGGAGGAGGAGGAGGAGGAGGAGGAGGAGGAGGAGAGAAGGAGGAGGAGAAGGAGGAGGAGGAGGAGGAGGAGGAGGAGGAGGAGGAGGAGGAGGAGGAGGAGAGGAGGAGGAGGAGGAGGAGGAGGAGGAGGAGGAGAAGAGAGAGGAGGGGGAGGAGGAGGAGAGGAGGAGGAGGAGGAGGAGGAGGAGGAGGAGGAGGAGGAGGAGGAGGACGGTGGGTATAGGATGGGGATGGGGAGGAGGAGGAGGAAGAGGAGGGTGAGGAAGGAGGAGGACGGTGTTGAGGATGAGGATCAGGAGGAGGAGGACGGAGAATGAGGAAGACGAGGGAGAAGGGGTATGAGGATAAGAGGTTTGAGGATGGTGGAGGATGAAGGATGGATCATGAGGTGGACGAGGAGGAGGAGGAGGAGGAGGAGGAGGAGGAAGTAGGAGAGGGAGGAGGGTAATGTAGATCACGACCTCCTTTCTCTTCCTGCGCTTCCTCCTGCCCCTACTTCTTTTGCTGTCCTCTTTCCTCTTGTCTGCTGTTTTGTCTTGGTCTCCTCCGTTTGCCTGCCTCTCTCACTCACCATGCGTGCGCACTCTTGCAGAAGCGATACGCAGCTGCTGTATGCGTTGGTTGTCGTTGCGACGACACTAGTGATGATGCGTGCAGCAGCGGGATGTGGGTTCGCGATGCTTGGGTGCAGCTGGCACGAGGGCCATGAAAACAACACTGGCTGCGGATGGGGTAGCCGTATGTGATTCACGCCAGGGCTCCACGTTTGGAAGGTGTTTCGATTTGTGTAACTCCACAGGGCTTATGTCCCTCGGTAAAGGGACTCATGCTCTTGATCCGCGTTCTTGTGGCCCTGCTTCGACTGCAGACCCCAGGGGTCCATCGGCGCGCGCGCGCGATCGCCACGGAGCGGTTGGCGCCACCCGCCCAGGACAGCCTGCATTCGGGGTGCGACGAGACGACCGAACCGTACGAGGAGCAGGTCCGATCGGGGGGGCGGGAAGACTTGCAGCTGATCCCGCCGCTCCCGTCGATACAGTGGAGGCCCATGCCGAGGAACATCCTGCCTGCCTCTGGGGTGCCCTGGGCTTCTTGGGCGTCGACGGTTTTGCTGCGGACAGCGCGGCGCTCCCGCTTCCAAACTCAAGGGACGTCCTGGGGTCTCAGGGCTGGGCTTCTTGTGGCAGGCTTCCCGTGGTCGAGCCCCTGCCGTGCAGGGTCCACGGGAGCCCAGGCGACAGGGGCGCAGGCCGAGGGTGCTGCAGATTCCGGCCGGAGCGTGTTTCTTTATTGCTTGGGGCATAGTGGGCCTCCTCCTCCTCCTCGTCCTCCTCCTCGTCCTCCTCCTCCTCCTCTTCCTCCTCCTCCTCCTCCTCCTCTTCCTCCTCCTCCCCCTCCTCCTCCTCTCCTCCTCCTCCTCCTCCTCCTCCTCCTCCCTCCTCCCTCCTCCTCCTCCTCCTCCTCCCCCTTTCCCCCCTTATAACGTAACGCCCCTCCTCCCCCCCAGTGCGCTCTGGGCACCGCCGCCGTGCGCACGGCGGGGGGGAGGCGTTACACTGTACCACCCCCCTGGCCCCTCACCCCTTTAATGCGCAGTATCGCCGAAGGTACAGAAACGCGCTCCCGGAGAGTACGGGGGATTGGGGACGCTTCGACCCACGCTTGCAGCTTGCAAGGGTGCGCCAGCGTCCTGGCTCATCAGAGGACATCCTCTTGCACTGCCCTGGTGCCCACCACCTCTCCCCCAGGTTTCAGTTGCGGGTGCAGAACAGGCCTGGTGGATTCCAAGGGTCCCGCTTTGATATTTTGTGTTTCTCCTCTCTCTCGAAGCAGATCGCCATCCCAGAGGTAGGAGGATGCGCCTCCTACCTCCTCCTCCTCCTCCTCCTCCTCCCGAGGATAGATATGAGGAGGAAGCCCGAAGACGAAACACCACAACTATAATTAGGGGAACACCCTCCTAACAAAAAACAATAATCAAATAATTCAAAGCGCCAGTGGCAGCAACTTTGAGAACATCCACATACAATTCAACAGCAAGCAAAAAACAGAGCTTCCACAGAGAATGCGGAGTTTCTCTTCGGACGTTTCCCTTCGAACGATCTCCCTCTGTCTTTCTCTCGAGGCAGATCGGTATCGCAGAGATCGGAGGATAAGCCTCCTAGATCCTCCTCCTCCATTTTCCCTTCTCCCTTGTCTTCCTGATGGGGGACAAGAGAGGATGAGGACGAGCACGAGGAGGAAGCCCGAAGGTGATGGAAAATAACAGAAAATTGGGAACACCCTCAGGAAAGGTACCCAAACCAAATAATCCAACGCACCAGTGTCAGAAGCTTTGGGAAGGCAAACCAAGAAATAAAGACAGTACAACAAGAAAGCTTCCACATAGAATGCTGGGTTTCACTTCGGACGTTTCCGTTCGGACGCTCTCTCTTTCTCTCTCTCTCTCTCTCTCTCTCTCTCTTTCTCTCTATACATATATATATATATATATATATATATATATATATATGCATAACGGCGCACCAGGTCCGGGGGCCCGGGGCCGGGACCTCGACCATAAATGTGGGCTCCGGGGGGCCCGGAGGCTCGTCGGGGCTTGCCGGAGGCCTCCCCGGTCAGACAAGACGGCCCCAGGAGCGCCCAAGACGGCCCAAGAAACTTCCAAGAGGCCTCCAAGAGGGCTCCGAGATGCTGAAGATGGCCTCCAGACGTCCAAGGACGCCCCCAAGAGGCCCCAAGAAGCCTCCAACATGCGTCCCAAGAGGGCCCCTAGACGCAAAAATTGGCCCATTCCCTTCGTAAAACGTACATTTTCAACAAAGTTGTCTTTTGGGCTTTCCGACGTTACAGGACGGCCCAAGAGGCGCCCAAGACCGCCCCAAGACGGCCCAAGAAGCTTCCAAGAGGGCCCCAGGACAGCCCAAGAGGGCCCCAAGACGGCCCAAGAGGCGCCCAAGATGGCCCAAGAGGGCCCCAAGACGGGCCCAAGAGGGGGCCCAGAGGGGGACCACGAACCGCAAGCTCGAGCCTTCCGCCCCAAGAGGCCGCCAGGAGGCCCCCAGGAGGCCCCTCAAGAGGCCCCAGGAGACCCCAGACGTCCAAGGACGCCCCCAAGAGGCCCCAAGAAGCCTCCAACATGCGTCCCAAGAGGGCCCCTAGACGCAAAAATTGGGACCCATTCCCATCGTAAAACGTACATTTTCCAACAAAGTCGCCTTTTGGGCTTTCCGACGTTACAGGACGGCCCAAGAGGCGCCCAAGACCGCCCCAAGACGGCCCAAGAAGCTTCCAAGAGGGCCCCAGGACAGCCCAAGAGGGCCCCAAGACGGCCCAAGAGGCGCCCAAGATGGCCCAAGAGGGCCCCAAGACGGGCCCAAGAGGGGGCCCAGAGGGGGACCACGAACCGCAAGCTCGAGCCTTCCGCCCCAAGAGGCCGCCAGGAGGCCCCCAGGAGGCCCCTCAAGAGGCCCCAGGAGACCCCAGACGTCCAAGGACGCCCCCACGACGCTTCGCGTCACCAATTTCTTCTCACAACGATTCCTGGGTCTGTGACTCGACAGAACCTAAGCGCGCGCGAAGCGCGCGCGTGGTTCTAGTATAGATATAGATACATGTCTCTCTCTTTGTCTCTCTATATTTATGTGGGTGTATATATATATATATATATATAGCTATCTGTCTCTCTCTCTCTTGTTCTCCCTCTCTCTCTCTCTCTCTCTTTCTCTTTTCCTGTCGAGGCAGATCGCCGTCGCAGAGGTAGGATGAGGCTCCTCCCTCCTCCTCCTCCTCCTCCCTCCTCCCTTGTCACCGTGAAGGGAGACAAGGGAGGATGCGGACGAACATGAGGAGGACGCCCGAAGGCTGGGGAAGCAAATGCAACGCTGGGGGCACCCTCACATGACAACACACAACGAAACCAATCATCCTGGCGAAGGACCTGACCATCTGCAGTTGTGAGTACAGTTGTTGCGGGTATCGCCTTCGGGCTGGGACGTTAGGTGGAACCCACCATCACCATCCTCATCATCATCATCATCATCATCATCATCACCATCATCATCAAGATCATCATCATCATCATCATCATCATCATCATCACCATCATCATCATCATCGTCATCATCATCATCAGCAGCATCATCATCATGTCTGTGAATTCTGTGAATGGCAGTTGACAGCAATTCGGGATCGTGCGGAGGAAATCGCTCTGCGTCGATTGTTTCAGCAGATGGTAGAAGAGCGCATTGACTATGAATGTTGTGCGTTCCGTTTCTTCTGTTCCTGTGTTTGCTCCCCTTCTCTGCCTCCTCTCCCCCTTCCTCTGCTGCCGCTCTGCTGCTGCCGCTGTGGTGGCGTCCGAGCTGGCCTCGAGGTCCGCCCTGCCTCTCTCTGCATGAAACTGTACTTGAGAGAGTCTGTCTGCGGCCCCGCGCCGCCCCTCCAGCCGTTCGAGTACACAGGATCGCCGCTGCCGTCTCCCCGTTTTTGTTGTCGTCTCTTGGGTGTCGTGGCCGCTCTCTGTGATCACCTGCTCGGAGCTCCGACCCCATCCGCCGACTTGGGGAAGCGGGCGTGCACCCACTAGTGCACCTCAGCTGATGCGACTAGGCTGAGCCGTCCCTTGTCGGCTCGTCTCGGCCTCTTTGATGTGCCCGTGCGCGAGGTTTGGGCAGCTTCCAGGCGCAGTGCCCCGCGGCCTCAGAGAGTCTCTTTCTCACCGCCGCCCCGCTCGTGCTCGGGTGGCCCCTTGGCGCCCCACGAAGCTGGGTTTGGTCTCGGTGGGAATGTTCCCACAGGCGCCCGAGACTTTGAACTGTCGCTTGACCTTGCTGACTGACTATCTTGCAGTTGCTGACTATTGGACTTCATCAGTTGTTAACCGGTCATTGCCATCGGTCCCGTGGGGGAAAAATCATCATCGTCATCGTCATCATCATCATCATTGACATCATCATCATCATCCGCACCATCATCATCGTCGCCATCATCATCATGATCGTCGTCGTCGCCGTCGATGTCGTCGTCGTCGTCGTCGTCGTCGTCACCATTATCATCGTCACCCGCCATCGTGGCCACGTCATCAACATCGTGGCCGGCATCGTCGGCCATCGTGCTTTTTGTCTGAGGGTTTCGGCGGAGCTCCTCACGGAGCCACGAATCGCGTACGAGATGTCACGTAATTGGCGGGGGAGGCGTGCGCGGGCGTTCCTCGTTGGGACCTTCGGTGGAGCTCCTGAGGGGCCGCGAAGCGGTGTATTGGCTGGGGGGGGCGCGCACGCGGCCTGCGGCCACTGGGGCCTTCGGTGGAGCTCCTTATGGGGCCGCGAAGCACTGTGTTGAGCTTGGGGGACGCGTGCGAACACCGCCGTTGGGGCCTTTGGTGGAGCTCGCAATGGGACCAGAAAGCGCTGTACTGGACGGGGGAGACGCATGCGAACGCCGCCACTGAGGCCTTCGGTGGAGCTCACTACGGGGCCAACGAACGCTGTATAGGGTGGGGGAGACGCATGCGAACACCGCCACTGGGGCCCGGGGTGGAGCTCCCTATGATGCCACGGATCGCTCTGCTGGGAAGGGGGGGGGGGAGACGCATGCGAACACCGCCACTGGGGCCTTCGGAGGGGCCCCCTGTAGGGCAACGGAGCGCTGTATTGAGCGGGGGGAACGCATGCGAATACCGCCACTGAGGCTTTCGGTGGGGCTCTTTTTATGGGTCACGAAACGCTGTGTTAGGTGGGTCACACTCATGCGAGCACCTCCACTGGGGCCTTCGGTGGGGCTCCCTATGGAGCCACGACGCTGCAAGCGCCGCCACTGGGGCCTTTGGTGGAGCTCCTTTTGGGAAACCTAAACGCTGAACTCGGCGGGGGAGGCGCATGCGAACACCGCCACTGGGGCCTTTCGGTGGAATGCCTAATTGGAAAACGAAGCGCTGCACCGTGTGGGGGAGGCACGTGCGAACACCGCCATTGAGGCTTT